AACCTTAACCACTCATTTGGCAACCCAAACCGACATCTAATTTCGTTTTAATTGTAAAATCTAAACCCTAAACCCTAACCGATATCTAATTTAAATTTAATTATAAAATCTAAACCATAGCCACTCATTTGGCAACCCAAACCGACATCTAATTTCTTTTTAATTGTAAAATCTAAACTCTAAACCCTAAACCCTAAACCCTAAACCTTAAACCTTAAATCTATTTTGTGATTTCCTTTTTTTTTAATTGTGTTTCTTTTTTTTTTTAATTTTCTAGTATTAATAATGACATGGCAAAACGATTGGCTATAATCTATTGGGTAAATTTAAAGGTTCACCCCAGGGGTAAACCTAAGTATGGTTCGTCAGTCAATAAAGACCTTCTTTTTTCTCTCGGCTCCACCTAAGTATAGTACACTCTATTAATGGTAATTATTAAATTTAAATATCGAATCTTAAAATTTTAAGTATTACATTATTTAATTAATTACAATATTTATTTTAGTGGGTTTCTTTGTACTTTATAGTTTATACAGTCAAATTAAAAAATAGTAAAAAAAACAAAAAAAACAAAACAAAAATGAAAAGATCCAAAATTCTAATTTTCACATCGATTTGTAAATACAGTATCAAATCATTAACCAGTCTATACTTTATCAAAAACATTAATAAGAAAGGAAAGGGACTGGTTAATGATTTTTTTTCAAATACATAATATTCATGGTTTATATTAATTAATATATATATTTTCAAGATCCGTATGTAAGGAAACAACAATACATCAATTGCTACTTTCCATATGTAGTTTGAGTCTTTACTCTTGACATTTGATAAATTAAAAGTAATAGGATTACTTTAGATTTCAACAACCATTAGTCTCGGCGAATATTATGAAACTAATATGACCACCGACAAAAAAATTCAACTTTTATTATTTATGATTTTATGCTTTCAGTTTTAAATTAAGTTTATTGTTTTGGAACCTAAATTTTATTTTAATTGGGTGGTTCGATTTTTATCTATAATGGGCTAAGTATTTAAAAGCCCAAACGTATTTTTTGTAACTATGGATCGAACACTTTAACCAAATTAAACAGAACAGGTTTCAGATACACGTACTTCGAAACAAAACTAGAGACTTTTCACCTTTCCACTGACAGAGACTTGAAAAAGTTTGAAACCCTAACTGGAGTGGAGACAAAGTAGATACGGTCAAAAAATTTCATGACGATTGAACTATCTAAATCTCGATCTCGCTCCGTTTTGATCTAATCAGGTACAAATTATGTCATTTGATTTCTTTCATGTTGGAAGATTTACTCGATTCTTCATTTCAATTCTATGTTTGCTAGACAGATAACATGCAAGAAGGCAGAGAGAGACGAGTTCGTTCGAAGCGATCAGGTGATAGAGTAAAGAAAGTAGATCGGCTGAGGAACTTACCAGATTGCTTGCTTTTTAAGATTCTCTTGAATCTTCCCACGAAGGATGTGGTTAGGTGTAGTGTACTATCCCGCCGATGGAGAAATGTCTGGAGATATGTACCTGGATTGAACTTGAAATGTGGTGATTTCATGGTGGCTAACTGTGATGATTCCTCGGATTTCAACTCTTTGTTGGGTTTCGTTTATAGGTTTCTAGGTTTTAACAATGAGTCTTGCTTACAAAAGTTTAGGTTAACGGTTAATTGGTATGACGATGCTCCGCTTGATACTGCTCATTTCACCCAGTGGTTCAAAGCTGTTGTTGAGCGGAAAGTTCAACATATCCATGTCCGGGACAGTACTTGGGGGTTGGATAGAGTGATGATGATACCCCCCATAGTTTACACGTGACGTGTGAGAGCTTGATATCCTTAAACCTCTATGACGTATACTTGCCTAATCCCGAGTTTGTGTCTCTACCTTCTCTCAAAGTTATCGTTCTAGATGAAGTTGAGTTGGTGAGCAGTTTGGCTATCGAAATGCTAATCTCAGGCTGCCCTGTTCTCGAAAGCTTAACTGTAAAAATGATTAACACTTCCTACGGTTTAGAAAGTTTTCAAGTGTGTTCTCAGTCTCTATTGAGGTTCACTCATGAATCATACATGGGTTTAATTAGTCCTACTAGGTTTGACTTTCTAGCAGTTTCAATTGATGCTCCTAGGCTTGAGTATCTGAGGCTCCGTGATAAGCGAACTGCAAATTACACAATAAAAAATCATGGTTCCCTTGTTGAGGTGGATATCGATGTTGTGTTAACTTGAGGTTCAAAAGGAAGTTTGATCCAAATGATCTACCAAAGAGACAGATGATTCGTAATTTTCTTATCGGGATATCTTATGTTAAAGATATGATCATCTCTTCGAGTACTCTTGAGGTAACCTTCATTGAAACTATTTGAATGCTTCACTTTATCCTATAAGTTTCTTACTAATATCTTTTTTTTCTTCGAGCAGGTCATATATGATTACTCAAGATGTGAACAACTATCCTTATTCCATAATATATCTTTCTTGCGTGTTGAATTCACCGACTACAGGTGGGAAATGTTGCCAATCTTTCTTGAGAGCTGTCCGAATCTAAAATCTCTTGTCTTGGTTAGGATTTTTACTGAATAATAAACTCTCTTCGTTACAATGAATGCAAATGGTAAAAGTAAGACATATTCAACTTGTTTTGTCCTACTTACAGGGATTTAGATTACGTCCACGGGAGGACGGAGCTAGTATTTTACCTGGACCACGGCGGTTTCTAACATCTCTCGAGTATGTTAAGATTGTAAAGCCGATGGCAGCGGAGGCGAGCGAGATAAGACTGAAACTAGTGAGTTACTTTCTAGGGAACTCCACAATCCTCAAAAATCTCACACTATTCTTAGGTAACTTTAGAGAGAAGGAAGAATCTGTCATCGTCAAGAAACTCCTTACCATTCCAAGACTCTCTACCTCATGCCAAGTTTTCATTATCTGAATCTGATCCTCAGTCTTTATTTTAGTGATGAACGTACAAGGTTGTCTTTTGAGTACTATGTTATCGTGAACTTTGTTTTTTTCTTCATTTTATCTATCGTTAACTTGTAAGAGAATCATATGTTTGATTGTTTGGTATTTTGTCAAATATGACTAGTAATGCTTTCTCGCCGACAAAATCCTCATTGAATCATTTATTTACATTATAAACAAATTTATCCTAGTTAAATTATATAAAAATTTGATAGCTTATTTACTTTTTTCATTAAATTGACAAACATTATCTATTTTATAGTGAAACCCTTATAAATTAATAATGTCAATATAGCAATTGATTGAAAAACTAATTTAGAATCGAAAAATGTACTACTCCCTCCGTTTGGTTTTAGTTGTCGTTTAAGGTTTTTTCACACAAATTAAGAAAGCATTAAATTTTCTGTTTTACTCTTTATTAATATATTTTATAAAAAAATTCATTGGCCAAAACATTAAAACTGTAAGGATAAAACTGGAATTTTCACCAAACATTTGCATTGAAAACCTAAAACGACAACTATTATGAAACAAAATTTAAATCCTGAAACGACAACTAAGCTGAAACGGAGGGAGTAATATATATATATTTATACTAATTTTACACTCAGAAAAAGAGGATAGGAGAAGTAAATTAAATTGATGATATTTAAAGCATTTTTGTAAGGAAAAAGCCTTAGACTCTTTTACTATATTGTAGGAGTTTTACACGTGGATAGAATAATACAATTTACAATAAAACATAAAATGTGGATAACTGACTCAAAAGAGTTCACTCTATTAAGCTTTACTAGCTCTATTAACTTCTACTACCAAAAGATTGTTTCCATCAATTTTTTTTTTTTTTTTTTTTTGATAAAGGTTTCCATCAAAATGGTTGTGGTTTTCATAATGCTCATGTGTTTATTTGTCGGATATCATGACAATTTTTAGGTATCGAATCAAAAAATATTCGTTAGAATTACACTCAAAAAATTCGTAACAATGTTTGTTGAATTCCATAAATAATACTCAAAAGGTTTAATTTTGTCTATGTTTCAATTATATATATACTAGATAACAACCCGCACGATGTGCGGGATGAAGTGATTGAAGTAAAATTATTATGATTAAAATTATTATCTGGGATCCAAGATCCGTTTGTGTAAAACGAAACATGTTACAATTTTTTTTTTTGTTTTATTCAAATTTGGGACTATTTCATATAAGAATATGTTTTACCCGTGAAATATTTGAACCTTGAATAAAGCTGCAACGTGATAAAAAAAGTATTGAAGAAATGTTACCATTTATGACAATATTTCTTTCCGTATGTTTTAAAAATTTCGAGATTTTGTAGTATAAAAAGAATTTTTTTTTTTTAATAAGTATAAAAAATCCAAAATTTAGCAAAGATGAGATTTGATAGTTTTCAAGATAAGATTTTGTATTGTTCCAAATATAAGATTCTTAGATTATGAATGGATTATTTACGAAATGGTTATAATGTGGCCAGATTTTGGTTGATATACAAATGTGGTTATAATGTTTTTCTTCGAAAAGTTAGAACTCCTCCAAAAAATAGGATTTTAAGTATTCGTAACATATATAGAAAGAAGATTATCTTATTTATTTAAGTAAAAAATTTATGAAAGATGTAATGATTTTGTAGTTTTGAATTCGAGATTCTTGAACCAAATGTATATATTTTATCATTTAAATATAAACATAAATATAAATATAAATAAAAAGATTGTTTACCCATCCGCTAAAGAAAATTTATATAAATGTATATAAAGAAAAATATAAATATAAAAATATAGTAATATAAGATAAACAAAAAGTGTATGTTTTTAATTATTAATGGGATATATGGATGTATGAGACTAATGGCAAATTCTGTAAATAGTCTAATAAATCTTGGGTAATTATCTAAATAGAAGCCAAATCATTGTGAGAGCGACACATCAGCGTGACAATCTTGTTAATAACACATGATGGTAAGGTTTTTTTAAAAAATTGTTTCTCTATTAATATATAGGGGATTTTTGTGAGTGATTTTTAAATTTATCATTTTACTTGGGCCATTTGCAGTTTTTAGGTATTTTTGGGTTTAATTTGCAGTTTTAAGGTATTATTAGTATTAAAAATGAAAAAGAATATAATTATTCATTTATTTACGGCTAAGGATCTCTCGCCCACCATCACCATCTCTCGTTGCAGTTTCTGATTAGATTCAACAATGAACGGCGCATTAGGTAACTCCTCCGCCTCCGTGAGCGGCGGAGAAGGAGCCGGAGGACCAGCTCCTTTCTTGGTAAAGACCTACGAGATGGTCGACGATTCATCAACGGACCAGATTGTATCGTGGAGCGCCAACAACAACAGCTTCATCGTTTGGAATCATGCGGAATTTTCACGCCTTCTTCTTCCAACCTACTTCAAGCACAATAACTTCTCTTCCTTCATTCGTCAGCTCAATACCTATGTGAGTCTCTTTCTGTCAGTTTCGATTTGACCAAACTCTTCTCTGTTCCAAGTTTTGAATTGACCTAATTTTGACCTAATTTGGGAATATTAGAACCCATCTAAGCCTTTGTGTGATTGAGATACTGAATTATGGAAATTGTTTTATGATATTGTGGAGTGATTCAACAAGACGATGAAATGTAGCTAAAATTGTAATCTAGGCCTCTGTGTGATTATAGACTGAATTGTGGAAATGGGTGAATTTATAGGGATTTTATCTTCTCCAATGTTATCAGTTGATTGGAACTTATGGACTATGTGTCGGTTTTCGTCGTTGTTGTCTGCTTTAGGTTTCTATTAACGGTGTGAATGTTCTTGTGATCTTGGTTATAGGGGTTCAGAAAGATTGATCCCGAGAGGTGGGAATTTTTGAATGATGATTTTATTAAGGATCAGAAGCATCTTCTCAAGAATATACATAGAAGGAAACCTATACACAGCCACAGTCATCCACCTGCTTCGTCGACAGATCAAGAAAGAGCAGTGTTGCAAGAGCAAATGGACAAGCTTTCACGTGAAAAAGCTGCGATTGAAGCTAAGCTTTTAAAGTTCAAACAACAGAAGGCTGTAGCAAAGCATCAGTTTGAGGAAATGACTGAGCATGTTGATGATATGGAGAAGAGGCAGAAGAAGCTGCTGAATTTCTTGGAAACGGCGATTCGGAATCCTACTTTTGTTAAGAATTTTGGCCGTAAAGTCGAGCAATTGGATATTTCAGCTTACAATAAAAAGCGAAGGCTCCCTGAAGTTGAGCAATCAAAGCCACCTTCAGAAGATTCTCATCTGGATAATAGCAGCGGAAGCTCGAGACGCGAGTCTGGAAACATTTTCCATCAAAATTTCTCTAATAAATTGCGACTAGAACTTTCTCCAGCTGTTTCAGATATGAACATGGTTTCACACAGTATACAAAGTTCCAATGAAGAAGGTGGGAGTCCCAAAGGGATACTGTCAGGAGGTGATCCAAAAACTACACTAACAAGAAGAGAAGGCCTACCATTTGCACCTGAAGCACTAGAGCTTGCGGATACCGGGACATGCCCGAGGAGATTACTGTTAAACGACATTACAAGAGTGGAGACCTTGCAGCAGAGGCTAACTTCTTCTGAGGAGACTGATGGTAGCTTTTCATGTCATTTAAATCTAACCCTGGCTTCTGCTCCATTACCGGAGAAGACCGCTTCACAGTTAGCTAAGACGACTCTTAAAAGTCAGGAGATAGGAAGATGTACCGAGTTAAAATTCAACTCAATAGAAACAAGTGCAAGTGAGAAAAATCGGGGTAGACAAGAGGTTGCAGTTGGAGGTAGCCAAGCAAATGCAGCTCCTCCAGCAAGAGTGAATGATGTATTCTGGGAACAGTTCTTAACAGAAAGGCCAGGGTCTTCAGATAATGAGGAGGCAAGTTCGACTTATAGAGGTAACCCAGACGAAGAGCAAGAGGAGAGAAGAAACGGGAATATGATGTCACGTAATACAAAGAATATCGAGCAGCTGACCTTATAAACTATTTGGACGGTAATATATCCTTAAACCTACTCATTAATTATGATTCCTTTACGATTTTGTGATCGACATGTTAGCTTTCTTGATATATGCATGATTTTTGGCAACAATTAGCTAGACATTGTCGACAAATTCTTTTAAATGAACTTGCATATGCAGCATCTTTTGAACTTTCCTTTTCTGCTTGAAATCATTCTGCATTGATTAGGAATTTGTAACACATTAGTAAAACCCTAGCAAGTTGTCCTCATTTACCCAATTTATGCCAAATTTATGATGCAGAAAGAGTTTATGCATTTGTATTTTCAGGTTACATAAACGAGAGTATATGGTCAGTGGTTTTGGTAAGAAGTAAGAACTATGGCTGAGTAAGTAATGAAACATTGGACTGAAAAAGCGTAAGTAGCTTTGTTGTAAATTTACACAATCAAGTAATTTGACTGTAATTTTAAGTGCATAGGATTTTAAATTGAATAAGCATTTTTTCGTGTCTTAAATGTAAACCATATGTAGTCTTCCCCCAAATCTTAGTACCGACATTGGTAACATCCGCTGAAATGTGTTTCTGATCTCTCTGACACAGAAGTAATTTGAACATTATTATTATAAAATCTTAATAACATAATTTCAGGATATGGAAGACATCTGATTCTACACAATTCTACAGAATCATTGCACACACGATAAGAATTTCTTTAAACTTATACCCAATCCTAGAAGCCAGAACCTTAAGTGCATTGGAATGTTTTCAAATTGTCTGGAAAAAATCAAAACACATCAAAATTCTACAGAATCATTCCTTAAACTAATTACAACTTGTCTGGAAAAATCAAGTAATTATATTCTTATCGTTGCGCGGGATTTTAATTTTAAAATCTTTTCTATTGATATAAAAATTTGAGCATAAAATATAATCAATTAAATTTAAAAGATAATTTTTTGAGCATAAATATAATAATTCAAATTTTAAACACTAAACTTATTTTACGCAGCGATATATAACATATATATTATCGACGATAATATTTCTTTGACAAATAAATAATTTGATATATATCACGTGGTAACAAAGATCATTTAAGATAATCCCACAAATAATAAACGGTATCAACACTCTCAAAGAGTTTATTTCTTATTCATATTCCATGAAGGTATTTCTAAAAGTTTTGATATTAATTATCGACTGTTGATCTAATTGTAGATATTATTTATGATTAAATGTTGATACGAACATAACATCATTCCATATAAAATGTGAATTTCCCGAGTTTCATGAACATTATTTAGTGTAAAAGTACATCTATAATACCATGTTGCTAGAACCAGTTTAGCGAGTTTGATTTACCCATCAAAGCTAGTGCAACAATAAGAGAATTTCCGACTAAGTCATCAATGAGCCTATCTTATTTTACTTTCCATGATTACATGGTCAAACGGTTAAACCCAACTTTGAATCTAATAATTTGTTTAATAATGTATGTCATGTATTTTCTAAGAACTCATTCGTTTCACACAATGAATGAGATCTCAAAGATACATTAGTCATGTGCATTATCTTTCTAAAGTTTTAGAAATTTATTTTCACTCTTTTAACTACCAGTTCTTTCGTCATCTTCTATGATGCAATCGTTGCCTCTCGACATCTACTTTCTTTTTACCTTCTATTGACTCACACATAATATATATTGGACTGTGAATTGATTTTCAAGACATATCATAACTATCTTTTCAATATTTCATTGATGAAATATCAAACTTAGTTTTTTTTTATTCTGTTATAAAGTTGTACTTCCACTTGAGAATATGCTACACAAATTACATATCACTTTTTTTTAATGGCTTACATTTATTTTTAATATATTTATTGTAAAACTCATGAATACTGTGATCACTGATTATTTATTTTTTAAAAGATGGATGATAAGGTTTTAAAATTTTCAAGATTTGTTTTTTATAATTTCACAAGATAAAGTTTGCATCTTACAATATTTTCTTCTTAAATTATAAATTTAAGTTGAGTTTAGTAATTTTTTATTTTTCTTTAAGTAAAAATTTAATAATAACTAAAAATATGTAGTATATTGTTCTTCGAAACTAATATTTTACTTTGAATTTTATTTTCTTGTTTAAAGTTTCACATATAGAATTACATAAATTTACTTCCATCCTAAAACTCATTAACACATTTAAAATTTTGAATACTGACCATATTTAATTTTTATCATTTAAAAGTTGAATTATATTAGTCTTACTTATAAAATTTTTATAGTATTATTTTATTATTTTAACATTTTATTTATTTTACATAATTCGTTTTTTATTTATTTAAAATTTATTATTTCTATTAATTACAAGTAAATGCATTAAATGGATGTTTTAAATTGATTTTAATGTAAAATAAATATTATTGCTTAGATGGATGCTTAGGTGGACACCTTAGATGGAGAGAAGACTCTCTAATTATATATATAGATTATATATATAATATTCAAATTATATTATTATGTATAAATTTATATTTCTTTTTTTTTTACTTATAATATTAATTTATTTGTATTATAACTTAAATATTTTTAATCATAAATAACAATAAGTAAAAATAAGTATGTATTGAATGAACATTTTAAATAAATTTTGACTTTTAATTTTTAATTAGATGCATGCTTAGGTGGATGATGATGTGGATAGCTTATATGGAGAGAAGACTCTCCCATTATATATATATATATATATTCAAATTATATTATTATGTATAAATTTATATTTCTTTTTTTTTACTTATAATATTAATTCATTTGTATTATAACTTAAATATTTTTAATCATAAATAACAATAAGTAAAAATAAGTATGTATTGAATGAACATTTTAAATAAATTTTTACTTTTAATTTTTAATTAGATGCATGCTTAGGTGGATGATGATGTGGATAGCTTATATGGAGAGAAGACTCTCCCATATATATTTATTTTCAAACTCTTTTAATTACCAGTTATTTCGTCATCTTCTATGATGCAATCGTTGCCTCTCGACATCTACTTTCTTTTTACCTTCTATTGACTCACACATAATATATATTGGACTGTGAATTGATTTTCAAGACATATCATAACTATCTTTTCAATATTTCATTGATGAAATATCAAACTTAGTTTTTTTATTCTGTTATAAAGTTGTACTTCCACTTGAGAATATGCTACACAAATTACATATCACTTTTTTTTAATGGCTTACATTTATTTTTAATATATTTTATTGTAAAACTCATGAATACTGTGATCACTGATTATTTATTTTTTAAAAGATGGATGATAAGGTTTTAAAATTTTCAAGATTTGTTTTTTATAATTTCACAAGATAAAGTTTGCATCTTACAATATTTTCTTCTTAAATTATAAATTTAAGTTGAGTTTAGTAATTTTTTATTTTTCTTTAAGTAAAAATTTAATAATAACTAAAAATATGTAGTATATTGTTCTTCGAAACTAATATTTTACTTTGAATTTTATTTTCTTGTTTAAAGTTTCACATATAGAATTACATAAATTTACTTCCATCCTAAAACTCATTAACACATTTAAAATTTTGAATACTGACCATATTTAATTTTTATCATTTAAAAGTTGAATTATATTAGTCTTACTTATAAAATTTTTATAGTATTATTTTATTATTTTAACATTTTATTTATTTTACATAATTCGTTTTTTATTTATTTAAAATTTATTATTTCTATTAATTACAAGTAAATGCATTAAATGGATGTTTTAAATTGATTTTAATGTAAAATAAATATTATTGCTTAGGTGGATGCTTAGGTGGACACCTTAGATGGAGAGAAGACTCTCTAATTATATATATAGATTTGAACATTATTATTATGTACATTCAATAGGGTAATTATGGTATATGCTCTCCAGCCCTGTGCCTATGTGATGAAAAAAATAAGCCATCGTCAATAATGATCTATATAAAATTTTGTATATTATAACCAAACAAAAACTACGATGTTACTTGATATTACCTCTATATAACCCTAATAAAGAGTTAAAGACTCAAAATTCGGAGATTACGTACTCAGATTAAAAGGATGATACATTGGTTTCGATGTCCGGCTTTCATTCCCGGACGTGGTCTGGCTTCATTGTTTTACTTCGCTGATCGCTGTCCGGTACAGCTGGCTTATATCACGGCTTTTCCGGTGCTGTGTTTTCTTTTGGTTTGAATAATATCCGTGTTCTAAAAAGATGGTGTTGTCAATTTCGATGGCTTACTTCTCGTTTTGATGCGGATTCTCTATTGGCTATTAATCTTAATCAATTATAGAGAGTAGTGATTCATGTCTTTTTGGATTGAATTATGCTTGAAAATTACGTCTTTTTCCATAAAAAAGTATGCTTTTACCTTTAACTCTTTTTAATCAACTTTAGGTTTCTTTATTTATTGAAACGATTTTGATAATATATGAATCGTTTTTTATTTATTTGCCAACTTCTTGTAATATATCAAAAAGTACTTCTAGACTGTTTAATACACTAAATTTACATTTCTCTCATCTTTAATACAATGACGACAATTTTAGTATCAATCGAGATTTTCTCTGTTAGAAAAATTTACGACTTACCGCGAGGTATATAAATGGATATAATTGGGCGGGTAATGGTTCAGACTTCAGACCCGTGGACTTCATTTAAAAAAAAAAAAAATGCCACTAAAACGGTATCGTTTTCATATTTATTTCGAACGGCGTCGTATTTGCTTCTCACTCTCCCAATTCGATTCTCAGACACTGAACCCTAAAGCATTTTCCTCAAAATCGTTTATGGGGTTTTCCGAAGTCGGCATCTGTTTCTGACTCCGCCGGGTTAGTGCTTCTTTCTCCCCGTTGAACTTACCCTGAACCTGAGGAATTCTCTTTTGATTACTCCGCTGTTTTTCTCGATTTCAGAAGTTTTTTCCTGTTTCATTTTTCTGGGTTTACGACCATGTCCTCTCTCCCTCTCTCCTTCGATTTTTCTATTAAGGTCGGGGGGGTGTTTGCTCGATCTTGTGTCTTTTTCTGAAACCCATTTGGGGATTCTGAGATTTTCAGTTGAATCGAGAAATTTGATCTTCAATTTCCTGTAATTTGGAGTAAAGATCCCAATTTTAATGCCTAGTGCTTGCTTTGTCCCGTGGTTTACCCAAATGCTTGAAATGATATAAACCCTTTTGGGGACTTTAAGTTTTCTGTTGAAATTTTATAAGACTGTCTCATTGATTACATTGCTACTTGAAGTGATTGAATTGATCTTTGCCTTATCTCTGATTGTGTAAAGTTTTGTCTTATCTTCTGATTGTTTGTCTTGCTTTATAATTGAACATGGAGTTTGTGCTGTTTTAGTGAAATTCGTCTTATTGATTCATCTGAGTGTGCGAGAGGGAGCTAGTTTATGATCAATGTGCTTCAGATTTAAATTCTTGTACAGAGGAGTCCAAAGTGAAATCATTTTGACATATGTGCAGGACACAGCATTTCTTCATCATCTGGGCATTAAGTTTGTTCGAGTTCCTGGAACTCAACTACAAAATCGACCAGCTTCTAGCTGAGAGAGGTCAGAGGTAAAATCCCTGAGGCCGAGTCTCTCTGATTTTTGAACTTTTTTAGAGCAATTGAGCTATTTATAGCGTTCTACTGTGAATGTTGTTTGTGGAGTTTTTGGTGTTTGAGTTTAGATATATTTTAAGTTTTAACTGTTTGCACTTTGCCTATATGATTGCTCCTGAGTTCGTGGATTGGTCATGTGAGCTCTGTCTTTACTATTCTTTGATCATATGATTCATCTGACTAGTGGAGTGTTTTTATTATCAGATGATTCATCTGTTGAAAAATGAAGATGGTTGAAAAAAGTGGGGAAATTTATGCGATTCTTAAGTTTTTTTTATGACATTTACTCTGAAAAGTTTGTTGATTGTTGTTGGAATTGATGTGAAATATGTGTGTTTTGGGAATTTTATGCTAGAATTGTGAACAAATATATCGAACTCCGTTGCAATGAAAATCTCTGTTTGGGCATGTCTCGTTGTAGTATAGAGTTCCCAGGATTCTGACATAATGTTTTCAACTCTGACATTTCTTAATTTGTGTAATTTAACGGTGGTTTGACTACATATGAATGCAGATGGCTAGATGGGATCAGATTTTCTCCTTACCTGTGCAAAATCCTACTTTGCCAGAATTTTCTTCTGCCGATCTTGTTTGGTCAAAGGTTGAAGGTTACCGGGACAATATAGATAGGTTAGCCCTCATCCCGTATACTAGGGTCGATGATTTTGTAAGAGGTGAATCCTCGAATAAAGATTGTCCTACAAGTTTCCATGTCGAAGCTAGACGACGGAAAGCCAAAGGGAAAAAATATAAGCCAAAGGTGGATGGCATCCTGGAGTATATTCTGTAAGTTACACATTCGTTTTGTATTGGTCACAACAAGCTAGATCGTTTATCTGGTTATTATCGTCTGCTGGAAGTTTATCGGGTCTACTTTCACATCGTCGTTACTTTGTTAACGATACTTTATGTTTTATTTTCTGCATACTTTGTGGTCATCTTTTCCTACTGAAGCGGCAGTGAATTTATATTTTGTTTGCTTCATGTATGTTTCTGTGTTCTTTTCAATTGTCTCATTTTCTTCTGCTTTATGTTTCCCATGCTATCTGTATCCATTTTTCTTGTTGCAGCACATCTGGATACTCTAAATACTATGATCCCATATTGTTTTCATTGTAGGCAGTACTTGGCTCTCATTCTTTCTGAATTTAAGACTGTCCATACTACATAAAGTTGGCTATCTGTTTGGTTGTTCTCCGCATGCATCTCTTTTTGTTAGTCAGTGTGGAACAAAATCGTTGGTTATAAATTAGTGTTTTTGTTCGAGTAGGTATTGGTGTTCCTTTGGACCGGATGACAATAGGAAAGGCGGAGCTGTACGACCAAGTAGGAGCACATATGTTCCGAAAAAGAACAATGCAGGCCGACCCAATTCTAAGAGAGGTTGCAGGTGTCACTTCATTGTGAAACGCTTAATTGCAGAACCAACTGTGGCTTTAGTAATTTATAACAATGACAAGCATGTAGATGAAAAAGGGTTGCCCTGCCACGGTCCACAAGACAAAAAGGCGGCTGGAACAAGAGCCATGTTTGCTCCATATATATCAGAAGACCTTAGGCTACGTGTATCATCGTTGCTCTATGTGGGTGTCTCTGTGGAGACCATAATGCAAAGGCATAATGAATCAGTGGAAAAACAAGGTGGTCCAAGTAACCGAGATGATTTGTTAACTCATAGATATGTACGAAGACTTGAGAGGAGTATACGACGTTCATCATATGAGCTCAATGAGGATGATGATATCAGCATCAGCATGTGGGTTGAAAGTCATCAAAGTCATGTGTTTTTCTTCGAGGGGTTCTCTGATACAGACCCTTTCTCCTTGGGTATCCAAACTGAGTGGCAGTTGCAACAAATGATTAGATTTGGAAACTGTAGACTTTTGGCTTCAGACTCAAGGTTTGGGACAAATACACTAAAGGTCAGTTTCTTACAGTTTGCATCAGTCGCTAAATTTGATATTTATATTATTAGGATGATTCTCAGGTCTATGCGTTGCGTTTATTTTCAGTATCCTATCCATAGTCTTGTTGTATTCGACTCTGAGAATAAGGCTATTCCAGTTGCTTGGATAATTGCACCGCGGTTTTCCAGTGGAGATGCATATAGATGGATGAGAGCTCTTTGTAACCGAGTCCATGCCAAGGATCCCTCCTGGAAGGTGGCTGGGTTCATAGTTGATGATCCTTTTGCTGACATAATAACGATCAGGTTGGTTGCTTCAAAAACCACTTTTTCATTAAAAAACATATTTTGCATGTTCCCTCCTTCAGGAAAATTGGCAGATTTTACCACAGCAAATCGTTTAGCTTTGAATCCAGTTAACTTAAGTACATAACCAAATATCAACATATTGAATAAAGCTGACTTTGGTAATTTCGAATTTTCAATAGTGAAGCTCTATGTAGCACTATTTGGACATATTGACTTGGATGTTACAACCATAGGTCTTGAATCCTTGGGGGAACTGGCAACTGGCTAGATGAAGAAGGCTTGACATAGTTAGATTATAGGGTTCATCAACAGCTACTGAACCATATTACTCTCTTTTGTTAATAAGAAATTTGGTGTAAGCATATATCAGACAAGGAACCCAATTGTCAGCCCTCAATATTATATTTTATTGAACTCTATTGCTTGCGATGTTCTCAGGGATGTATTTCAGTGTCCAGTCTTGTTTTCCTTTTGGCGTGTTCGCCATGCATGGCATAAGAACATAATCAAGAGATGTCCAGAAACAGAGACTCGCGTTGATATTTCAAGACATCTTGGGCAGGCTGTTGATAAAATCTGTAGGAGGCAAGGAACAGCCACATTGTTTGACACTTTTGCAGAGGATTTTGTTGGTAGTCCAGAATTTGTGGAGTACTTCAGATCTGTTTGGTCTCCCAGAATAGGTTAGTTTCCGGTTCCCTCTTTTCTTTTCTGTTTACACTCTACCTGCATGGTCATCTACAATTAATTGATAGGTAAAACCCTAAGTATCAAGATTTTACTTGTAATTCTACATTGGTACTCTGCCACTCTACCTGCAATTATTGCGGATATTTGACACTAGTCCTCTCGAGAATGACTCTTTCCCTCCAATTTATTATAGGAGCCTGGACAAGTGCGTTACAATCTCTTCCCTTGGCAAGCCAAGAGACCTGTGCAGCGATGGAGCTTTACCACTATCAGCTGAAGTGCAGGCTTTTGAATGAGAGGGACTCTGAAGCTTATCAACGTGCTGATTGGTTGGTCGATAAGTTAGGGACAAAAGTACATTCTTACTTCTGGCTTGATGAATATTCTGGAAAAGATAATTTTGCCAGGTACTGGAAAGACGAATGGGTGAGCGGGTTGACTTCCTTCCGCAAAGCATTGAGTATACCAGATTCTGATGTTGTTATCTCTGGTATGTCTGCAAAAATAACAGATGAGTGTGATGGCAACGAAATTCATGTGTGGAATCCAGGTTCACAGTTTGGGGTTTGCAGTTGCAGCTGGGCAGAAAAGGGATACTTATGTAAACACATGATCAAACTTACACAGCTCTGTCTAGGGAACCGAGCTGCTAGGCAATCCGCGAGCCTTCTACAGTATTATCAGACCTTGATTGATCTGCTACACTGCCCACCTCACGATTCCTTGTTTCGTGATTATGCAATCTCTTTAGCCGTCTCTGTGGAAAAGCAAATAAACGCACCCGGCAATCTGCAAAAGAGTGATGCTAACGAAGGTAACTTGCAGAAAGAAATTGCTTTCAGTGATCCATCTAATGGAAAATCTCTTGATGAATCTAACTTGCTAGATAAACATGAGGGTCATGGCGAAGTTGCTACTAATTTAGATGGTGCGTTGAGTAAAATGCCAATGAGTTGTCTGAGGGTCTGCTCAGAAAATGTAAAAGACATTATTTCAGGTTCTGAAATGGAAATCGAACCTTCACTGTGTTCAACCAAAGCTGCTGCAGAAGATGTTACCTCTACTGTGCAGAATGGTACAGACACCGCGAACGAGAATTGTGAAAGAGGTGCGAAAAGGTTGAAAATTTGGGCACCCGAGCAAGGGAGTGTATGAGATACTAACTGAGCCGAGAACCTAGCGAGTATTTCCAAGATTTGAATAAGCAAAATCTAATGTTGAGCAGACACAAACTGAGAAGCAACATCTCTCGGGTCTCAGGAAATTTGATTCCAGTGAGCATTCCACTTCATAACTATGATGACGAGGCTCCTATAAAGAGGAAACTGAAAGAAGCCGTTGTGGTGACATTGTGTCTTCCCTACAACGTGAATGAGACATCCAAGGACACTTGCTTTGGTCTGAAAGCAACAAAGCTCTCAAGTAATCCGGTGAGTGTCTTGTACTCACCGTTCCATGGATTTCCTAAACTATAGACTTGTTGAATAGATCCATTAAAGCCACTAATTAGAGTGTCTCTGTCGAGTTTTCTATGCCGGAGATGGAACTATCGAAATGTAAATTGGATAGTTGAGTTATTAGTATTAACTCTCTAGGGAAATGAAATAATCGTATTCATAACCTCTTTTCTCAAATTTTCGTACTCAAATCGAAATGTAAATTGGATAATTATGATTACCTGTCTAGGAAAATGAAATAATAGTACGCAAATTACTTTTTTTCTCAAATTTTCGTTGTGGAAATTGTGGAATAAACTGAATACTAGTCTTTTTAATGTTTATAAGCAACATAGAAGACGATTTAAGAAAATTAACCATGTAGAAAACTGCCAATGTTAATGAGAAACTCCACTTTCCATAGACAATAATACTTTTATAACAAGTACTTAAGATCATTTATAATTGTTATAAGAGAATTTATAATCCATATATTTAAATAGATTTTAACTGTTATTCTGATAATACAGAATACATATTTTTTTGTAACAACAAAAAATACATATAAAATGATGAACTAATTAGTAATTAATACATTATTGTTATTCTTAGAAATGGAAGACTCTTGAGATTCGGCGACAGCAACATAGCAGCAACAACAGTTGAGGCCAACAAGACAAACCCCTCCTAAGTTGTTATTTCTAGGTTTGCAATAATCATTGCATGTATCTGTGTTTGTACATGCTATTCCTGAAAAACATTGCATGTTTTGTCCTGTTTGTCCTGTTTGGTTCATAAACAAACACATGAACGAGATTATTAGTACAAAAATAATCAATTGTTATTTGTTTTATAAATTAGTATAAGTACTGCACCTTTATGCTTCTAATTCTAGTTCAACTATTTTTATTTATATTTTTATATGTTAAGGGTACAATTTTAAAGTTAAAAAAAAAAACTAAACTGTCACCAATTAAACTATTTAAAATTTAGACCAAACAATTAAACATCTTTTTAATCAATTATAAATTTAAACTAAACACTCGAAATGGAAACACAAGACACAGGAGAAGAGTTTACAAACGAAACCAAACAACCCTCAAACAATAAGAAATCTATATAAAATAATGTCAAGTAAAATTTTGTTTCTTTAGTACGACACACTGAAGTTCATGATAAATGAAATTATATAATTTTACTATCTTCCTAAAATATCTTCGATCACACTGAAATAACTCTACTTATGAGAAAACCCTATTTAAATATTTTAAATAAAATAATTTAACGTTAATTAAGATTTACAGCAAAAGTATTAGTTTTCCTCTAATTTTATATAGTATGATATTTTATAATATAAACATAATATCTTAACTTATCCAAATATAAACAAAACAAATTCTTGAGTTTTTTGCCCGTAGAAGAGTTTCACTTTGTTAGAATAAATCTCAGTTTGAATCTCTCACCATGATATTAAAGATAAATTTTTGCATTTAAGACAATTTAACCCCAAAAGATAAGCAATAGTTTATCTTTGAAAAAAAAAAAAATATGTATTACCTGAAATCATGGGTAGAACGATAAGAGCAAAGACCATCACCGATACAAGAGATGAAATATTCTTGAATCCCATTTCGCTAGAGGATGCAACAAGTGTTTGTTAGAATATGCTCAATTTAATCCGAAGATAAAATGAAAAAAAAAGCAAAGAAATAAAGAGCCTATAGAAAAGTAAGGTTCAAATCAACATTAGAAGAACTTATATCTAATCAGAACAATAGCAAGAATAGATATTGTAGATAAAAACTAATATCTTACAAATATTTAAGTAATAATGATCTTGAAATTTTATTTTTACACTGGTTGATAACAAATCGTTGTCTTCTCCTATATAAAATTGTGAATATGTCTTAGGAATTTATACATATTTAGAACCTAATTTAGGAAATTCACAAATTTGATTTTTAAAAATCAATATTCAAACAATTAATATGTATACATTTGATTCATAAATTTGTTACCAAATTAAAATACATAGTAATGTACAATAATGATTTTTTTCAAAGCTAGTTAGATATAAAGCTATTTTCTTAACATACATTTAAATAAATAATATATTCTTAGCACATTTCTTACATTTTTATTTCTCATTTAGACAATATATATATATATATATATATATATATATATATAAATGTATATAATATTTATAACCTTTTTGGGCAGAAATAACAAAACAATGACCACCACCCATTCAAACATCTTCCCGATTCTTTTCCGTTTTTACTTTTTAGTTTGAATTGGTCATTCAGATCAAAGACTTGAAATAACTTTTTAATCATATTCATAGTATTCAAACAACTTTTTAATCATATTCAAATAACTTTTTAATCGTATTCATTGTATTCAAATAACTTTTTTTCTCAAAAATTCGTAGTGGCAATTGTGGAATAAATTGAATACTATAGTCATTTTCTCAAGTCTCACATAGAAGACGATTTAAGAAAATTAACCAACCATGTAGAAACTGCCAATGCTAATGAAGACTCCACTCCCCATAGACCATAATACGTTTATAACAAGAACTGAAAATTGTGAAATTAATCAAGTACTATACTAAGGCAGGGTAAAACCAAATGTATTGCGTAACAAATCAAGTAATGTAGATCATTTATAATTTTTATAAGACAATATATCTAAATAGATTTTTAATTGTTATTCTGATTATAGAGAATACATATTTTATATTTTTGCAACAATAAAAAACACATATAAAATGATGAATTAATTAGTAATGACTACATTATTGGTATCCTTGGATATGGAAGACTTGTGAGATTCGAAGACACTAACATAGCAACAACAAGAGTTGGCGCGAATAAGACAAACACCTCCTAAATTGTTATTTCTAGGTCTGCAAAAATTATTGCATGTCGCTGTGTTTTTACATGGTACTCCTGAGTAACATTGCATGCCATGTCCTGTTTGGTTCGTAAACAAACACATGAACGAGATTATTAGTACAAAAATGATCAATTATTATTTGTTTTATAAATTGAGAAATTGTTAAAAATGCCTCTTTTTCAATACCTCTTTTCAAAAATGCCCCCTTTGAGAGTCCATTTTTAAGTTTGCCCTCTTTTAATTTTTAATGACCATTTTACCCTTATTTGAAACAAAATTAGGTCCACAAAATACAAAATATTTTTTGGCGGGAAAAGTGATCCCGCAATTTTCCCGCTAAAACACTTGCAAAAACCTTTAAAATACCTTGTAAAATTTTCCCGTAAAACTTTTTCCCGCCAAAAAATTTTCCTGCCAAAAAACTTTTTTTGCGGGAAAAGTGATTCCGCAATTTTTTTGGCGAAATTTTTTTGGCAGGAAAATTTGTGGCGGGAAAAATTTACAAAGTATTTTAAAGGTTTTTACAGAGTATTTACAAGTGTTTTGTAAGGTTTTACAATGTATTTTAAAAGGTTTTACAAGGTACTTATAAGGTTTTATAAGGTATTTATAACTTGTAAAACCTTATAAAAAACTTGTAAAACCTTATAACTTGTAAAACCTTATAAAATAGCTTGTAAAATCTTATAATATCTTATAAATACCTTATAAATACGTTGTAAAACCTTTTAAAATACATTGTAAAACCTTATAAATACCCTGTAAAAAACCTTTAAAATACCTTGTAAATTTTTCCCGTCAAAAATTTTTCCGTCAAAAATTTAACGCCAAAAAAATTGCAGAATCACTTTTCCCGCAAAAAAAATTTTTTGGCGGGAAAATTTTACAAGGTATTTTAAAGGTTTTACAAGTTTTTACAAAATCAAATTTGTAATTTTGATGTGTGCACATTTTTATGGTTTTCTTATATATTTGTGATATTTTTTATTAAAAGAAGGGTAATTTAGTCATTTTGTACATAAAAAGGAGTATTTTTAAAAATAGACAGCCAAATGGGGCATTTTTAAAAAGGGGTATTGAAAAAGGGGCATTTTTGTGAGTCCCCCTTATAAATTAGCTAGTATATAACTAGTGCACCTTTATGTTTCTAATTCCAGTTCAATTATTTTTATGTACTATTTTTTTTTTTTAATAAAGAGACAAATCTTAAATTTTAAAAAGGAACTAAACTGTCACCAAGGAATATATACATATTTAGAACCTAATTTAGGAAATTCACAAATTATTATCTTAAGAATCAAAACCATTGATATCTATTTAAGACTTCCAGATTCTTTGTTTTTTTTCTTGTAAATCTTCCCAAATAAGTTTGATTTATACATTTTTTTTTAACTCAAAACAAATAATAATGTACAATAAAGTTTTAAAGGCTAACTAGATTTAAAGCTATGCTCTTAACATACATTCAGGAAAAAAAATTAACTATATTCTTAGCACATTTTTATAATTGTTCACAACAATGAATTTTTCAAAGCTAGCTAGATTTAAAGCTATTTTCTTAACATACATTTAAGGGGAAAAAAACTATATTCTTAGCACATTTATATAATAGTGCACAACAATGAATTTTTCAAATAACTATATTCTTAGAACATTTATATAATAGTGCATAACAATGAATTTTTCAAAGCTATATGACTTCATCTCATTATTCAGTTCAATAACTCTTTTAATGAATTCTTTAAGTGTTTCTTTTTATGTTGGCTTTACATTCCAGAAAATTGCTCTTAACCTTTGTACTCTAATTTGTGAAGTCTTTGGATCTCCTTTGTATTCTCTATGTCACAAATCCCAAGTTGCTTTGGCTGACTCTTCATCAGAAACTCTTGATGTCTCACTCAAAGCACTATGAATTAGTTGCAAAGCAAGCTAGTCTTTAACTTTCAACTCTTCCCATTCATTTATCGTAGTAAGTTTTTCTTATGTCGGTTTTTTTTTAGTTTCTGGTGGTTGAGGAATTCCCTTTAAAACAATAGTCCACAGAGATATAGGTTTTATTATTGTTTTCATTCTCTTAACCCAAAGACTAAAATTTTTACCATCAAATACAGGAATAATCTGTGTTGTATTTGAGTGCATCTTTTATTTGTGATTTTGTGATAGATTCTCTTGTGGCTACTTGTGGGCACTTGGTAACATGTTTTTAGCTGGATTGTCGAGGAATATTGGCTGAATTTATTTTCTGTTACATCAGTTGAGCATTTGGCTGAAAAGTGGAATAGAAGAATTTTTTTCAAAAAGTTTGTTTGTTTAATACTCCATCCGTTTTCGAATAGTTGTCGTTCTAACTATATGCACACAAATTAAGAAACTATTAATGTTTGTTAGTTTTTCAATATAAAAATATCATTAATTATCTACCTAAACATAATTTAACTAATAGTAAATCAAGTTGCATAATAAAAATAAATATAAAAAATAAAAAAATAATAAATTTTGCATCGAAAACTGAAAACGACAACTATTCGAAAACGGAGGGAGTAGTAATTAATACCTACGTACCATACGGCATTTATATCCTTTACAATAACAAAAAAAATATTGAAAAAGCTAAGAAATGAATTATTCATAAATAATTATACTTTCAGTAATAGTTTTTATAAACTAAATTTAGCACAAATTCAGTAGTTACCATTTAACTTTTAAATTATTCAGTCAAATTTAGCCAGAAATCAATTCCGCCAGAAATCACAAATAAATTCAGCCGGATTCAGCAATTTAGCCGGATTCAGCAGTTACCATTTATGGTAGTAGTTTCTTGTGATATTCGTAGTTTTGTGAGATTGTGATGCTAGGCTCTTAGAATTTTAGCATTACTCTGATACCATGTTGAGGTTTTGTGTTCAAGAAACAAAAGAATGTAAAATTGCTGTCAGAATATTAAAAAGACATTGAATCCAATATTCTAAAAGCTCGTTTAATTTCTCTGTTTTTCTTGCTCTCTAATGAGCATACATATTTATAGCAAACGACTTAATATTGTTAAGCAAATTAAACTCTTACTCCCTCCGTTTTATATTAATTGTCGTTTTAGATTGTTTCACATAAATTAAAAAAAATAGATAAATGTTCTACTATGCCCTTGTTTGACTATTAGATTTCTAAACTATATAATATTTTATGTATTTAATAAAGGATAAATGAACTAATTATCTATTAAAAGTGACATTGAAAAACGGAAACGACAACTAAACTAAAACAAAAATTTAAGTCTAGAACGATAACTATTTTAAAACGGAGGGAGGAATATCCTGGGTCCGCTATTGCATGCACATATTATGTTTCCCTCCGGTAGCATCTTCTATCAGCTGGTATATTTGGAGCTACTTAGACATGAAGCAGCGTGTTTGAATCTACTTACCTTCATGCTTGATAGTTCTCCTAAATTGAAAGTCCTCAAGCTCGTTAGTGTAAGCAATGTTCATATGTCAGAAGTTTTTCCAGCTATGTACGTTTTAGTTTAGATGATCTAATAATAACATACATTGCATGTGTTTCCCTCTTACTGATCAGCCAAAGTATCAAAATTGGAAAAAAAAAATGTTGTTGGGAAATGGAATCAGCCAAAGAATGTTCCTGAATGTTTGTTGTTTCACCTCGAGAAGTTCATGTGGACCGAAGTGGCGAAATACATCCTAAGTAACAAAATAATTTGCGGAGAGCAACTCTCTTCTCAAAACCCATCAGTTCTGAAGAGAGAATTGAAATGGTTAAGGATTTGAATAGTGTGGTCAGGGCTTTGAATTCTTGCCAGCTTCTCATGAAATGAAAAAAAAAATATATAGTGAGAGAGTCTTTGTTCTCACATGTTACATTTACTCTGCTCTTTGTTCGACGTATTTATATAGTCTGTTTTGGATGTCGAGTTCGTTTTGAAATGAAGAAGGGAGAAAGAAAAATCCAAACTCGTATCTATTGTGAGCTTGATACAATCTTGGGGTTTGAGGTACTTATGTAGCTGTTAGTTAGTTGGCATTTGAAAGAAGCTATTGTGAAAAAAAAACGTTTGATGAGTCAGAAACTAAGCATTTGATGGTACTAAAATATTGGAGAGTTGTGGACTCTTTCTTATGCCCCCACATAGCTGCTTTTAATTAGTTATAGTTTGTTTTTACCATAAAAGGAAGTGAAGGAAAAGGATATTAATAGCATACTTCGGAGCTCTAATTTTTGCCATCTCTGCCTTGCTCTTTACCTTTAGTCAAATTCGAGCATCACCGTCTGCATTTTGAGGTTGAAGGTATTAGGACATAATGTCCCACATCGGAAGTTGGAAGGGATCCTAAATAATATATAAGGGATATGGGCCACTCAACTCAATATTAGGACATAATGTCCCACATCGGAAGTTGGAAGGGATCCTAAATAATATATAAGGGTTATGGGCCACTCAACTCAT